TAACTTCACAGAATCTTACTAATTTAAGTTTTAAGAATAAGAAGTGACATTAGGCCTGGGCAGCATCTGTTTTTCGTACCTTTATACCTTTCTGAAATTTGACGGTATATGACAGTATCCGTGTGTGGTGCTATCCCCACCCCTGATCGTCGAGTTTGCTTCATTCCGCAAGCTCTCTCAGCTTTTTCAGTCTAATAAATGAACAATATTAACTTATAAAATGGCAAGAACATTCATTTTCTGAAACCTATTTTCCTTATTAAACAGAGGAATACCCTCTGAATTCAAGTTTCTCTCTTTCGACTTTTAGACTAATTGCCTTGTTTACTCATCGTAAAACACACTTCATCAAAACTGGTGGGCTCATTACGGTCCTGCAATGTTATTTTTTCCCAGTCGCAGTCGCAGTGTTTGTCAGCTCAGCGGCGTGTTCCACCAGTAGAAACTGACCTCTGGTGGTTCGTGGTGTGCACTACATCCTCAAAACAGCATCTCCGTATGATTTTATTAGAGAGTGTCTGTATTTTTGACGAAAATCATACTGTTGGGATTTCTGAATAACCTGGTGTACTATGACACCTTACTGCCTAAGCCTAAACTACATGTTATTGTGGTTGCTTTTAATCTCATCAGCATTACACGCTACTTTCGTTACACAAGCAAAAATTTACTAGAGTGCACTCAGTATGTCATAAACAATCCAAAAACACTATTGTGATAGGTCAGTAACCCAGATCAAATATCCTACTGTAGGATTTAGAATGTAAACTGAACCCCTTTCTTTTACTCGGCAACAGCATGCCCCTCGTGGCCACCTAATCTTAACCAATTCAATCTTGATGTGCAAATTGCAAAACCAAGCCGGGGTTAACATTAAGTGACCTTCTTAATCCTTCCATGAATCCTGTGCTAGTTAGTAATGAGACAGTTCCAGCGCACCCCGCCCATCTCATCTCCATCCTTCCTGCCATTGCCCGCCTGCTATTGATTGGCTGGGAAATTGACATGCGGGATATACGCGTTGGCCATTATAGGTTTTTTATCTTACTGTTTGGACTGCAAATGAAAAGGGGCGCCAGGGCGAGACGGCTATCTTTAATGAAAGAGAGGAGCCAAATAAGCAGTGAAAGTTACGAGTGGAAGGAAGGTGGCGGGGAGCGTAGGCAGAGGAGTTTTGTGGGAATTTTATCTGGCCTTATAGAGCTAGAAAAGAGGCAAACAGTATTGGTGCGCTGGGAGAATGAAGCCCAAAGGTTTTTATTACACTAAGAAAGGTGCAGTTCTGTATACGTGTTCAAAGGACAAAGGAAAGGAGGTATTTGAAGGCAGAATGCTTAATCACTGTTTGTTTCAAAGTAGTTTTGATTTTTACATACAGGCTCATTAAAGAGTATAATGTTGTTAGAATCAGCTTTCTGCAGATGTTATACTCCCTAAGTCTTCTTTCTGTTCTACTGACGGGCACAGGAAGCATCTCTTCATGCTATCAGAATGACCCAACAGCCCAGGCTAGATTTTTTCCTTTTTATAATAACAGGAACCTGCTCCTGCTGCTTTTCTCCATGCATTTTTTTGTATGCATGTAGCAGTAAAATAGATTTACCAGGACTCCTATGGGGGATATTAATATCGAGCAGCAATTCACAACTTTACTTCACACAAGTTTGAGCCAAGAAATGAAGTTCTTTGTTGCACTGTATACCTCTCTGAAAATCTATTGGCATTCTCTCTAGCCCGCGTGCAATCTCTGTGCCACCTCCTCCTCCCCTCACCCCACCCACTGCCATCCCCCCATTACTGCCCAAACTGTACCCCTACCCCCCGCACTCCCCTTGTTATAGATTGTGACCGCCGGTAAGTGATGCATTATTCATTACCGACATGTCGTTTGTTGATGGATGGCTGTTTGAGAGCCCTGTCCGTTAAATAAATCAACAAATAAAAATGCAAATTCTCACATTTCGAGAGAAGGAACCCAGCCAAAGTCCCTCCCCCACATTCCCTTTCTGCTTTCCTCTCTATCCACAAAGCTGCACTCGCTTCCAGTCTCTCCCTTACAAACAGACACAGACACTCACTCCCGCTCATGCTCCCCTCTCTCTCTCTCTTTCTCCTTTGCTGTTGACAGGCAGGAGACCAAATGAGGAAGACAGATTTACTTACTTGAGCTTCAGTCTCTTTTTTCATCAGTTATCATCCCTCAGCCAACTTGCCCCTCATTCACTTTCTCCCCCTTGCGCTCAAACATGTGCATACATTAGTTCATGTTGCTATAGCAAAATATAGCCTTTTAAAGCTTCCAAGCTACTGATGTGTGCTGCCTCAGGTTAGTGTGAAAACATGACATATCAAGGTTTATAGTTGCGTGTGGAGGAACACAAATGCACCCTGATTGGAAGTTCCACTGGTGTGTCTCTCTGCTGACCACCCACATGCATATCAACAAGTACACGCCAAAGATCGCCCTTACCTGGGAGAGCTGTGTACGGAGCGGTGCGATGCAAATCGATGCAGCTTTAAACGAGCAGAGAATTATGTTAGCAACATCAGTGGAGCATGCTTTAAAGAATTCATGTTTTGTATCTGGAATGGCGTTGTTCGACTGTGTATACACTGAATAATTTATCAAGCCAGCCAGACTGAGGGATTGAATCTCTATTAGCTTAATCTCCCCCGTTTTGGTTTATTTATTTCACTGCACATTCCCTCATTTCTATTCCAGGGGAGAAAGCACCGGGTTCTCTCCCTCTTTTTCCTCTCGCACCTGCAAGAAAGTGTGTTTTTCTGCTGGGACGCCCCAGTGGTTTTGACTTGTTAACGTTGCTTGTTAGGGTTCAGTAGACACTTCAGCAAGAAAGATTTTGTTAACACGTCGAAGAGAGATTTGCTTTCATATTGTCTGTGTTAACAAGTGAAAGGTGAATGACAAATATTTTTGTACAAGCGTCGGGCTCCAAGTAGACTTTGGCCTTGTGCATGTCTGGTGTTGGTCCCTTGGCTTGCACCCTCGCTGCTTAACATTGAGTGCACGTACCGTAACAGGCGGTCTTTGTGTGCATTTCTCTGTTACAATGAAACAGCGAGAGGATACTCATTTACAACATTGCCTGTCTACGGGGCTCCGCTGGGCTCTGTATTATAAATGTAGCCTGTGCCAATTCAACCTTTGAAACAAGCTGAGGTCACATGTGAAAAAAAGATGAAGTAAATGAAACAACAAAAGCCTCCCTTACTTGTTTTTCAGGTTGGACTTTTCTTTGGTTGATCTATTGGATGTCTTTAGTCCTGTCTCTGCACCTGAGCCAAGCAAGCAGTCCACTCGAAGACCCAAAACAGTGCAACGCAGACTGGGCCTCCATGCCCCCAAACCAGCGGGCAGAACCCTGCTCACCCCTGCTGGGTCTTATCCTCAGAGCACCCAGCAGGACCTGGAAGAAAGCCAAATACTGGAGGATATTTTCTTCATTTGCTGACAAAGAAGAAAATGGCTTTATTCACCTTTGTGGTCTTGACTTTTCAATAACATTACATTTTCAGTCACCGTTCTAAATCAGAATGATCATGATGTTGTAGATTGCACATTGGTCTTACTGTGGTTTTAATACAAATAAACAAATATTTATTCAGAATTGGCTTTGCTTCAAGTTTGTAATTGATATCTTATTTTGTCACTGCAGGAAAACTACCATTGAGCTATGCCAGTTATCTCTGAGGACACTGGCAGCAATATTGCGAACTGAACTTCAATTTCACATTAAGAATCTATTAATTTATCATGACTGAAAACAATTATCCTTAAATCATTAAAATCTGGATAACCATCGGTACATGGTGGTGGTGTTGTCATGATACTGGAATTTCTAACTTTTGACACAAGACCTTGAAGAATATTTATATTCAATACCACTTTTGATATCGATTTGAAATACATATGAAACAATAAATATAACTTTTGACTTTTCTTTTCTTGGTCAGTAGCAGAGAACAGCAGAATGACTGTAGTAAACATAAACAAAAGAGAGAGTGAGAAAGCACAACTGCTACTGGTGTGTTGATACTGCAAAAAAATGAGTGATGAAACATTTCAAATATTCAGAATCACTGAGTATGTTTACATGCCCAAAACAGCCAGGTTTTTGCCCCGACAATATTCCTACTACGGTGTTTGAATGGCAAATAAAAATGAACATTCACTAATATTCCTGTTTACATGCAGCCGTGCATACTTGGATTAACACGACCTAACGTGCTGTTTATCACATCAAAATACAGAACAGTGGAACAGCTGCAGTCGTTTGTCTCATTTTGCTTCTTTGCTCAAAATAGGATTTTTTCACAGTTTCCTACCAGTGGTGGATTTGATGGAAAGTGTAAAAGCAGACTCCTTCTTTTCTTCCCTCAGCCACCTTCTTGAAAAGGTCGGCCTTGCAAAATTTGCTCATTTTTAAAAACCTGTTGATGTCGAAGTCTTCAATAATGTTTAAAAGAAAGTGTGTTTCTACTTCTGACAGGAAATGTGGGCTTTTCTTTTGGGCACACATCTCTACCCCAGCCTGGCATACTGTTGGCTAGCTGGGGTGTATACAAGACATTCATGACAATGCACAGAGCCAACTATAAACAGCACAAACTGTGGTAAAACCCCAACTGAGAAACGTATTCCGAATGTGCTGTGTGCATTTCCAAATAATGCAACTAAAACCAGAATAATCTTGGCACATTCCGCGTCTTAATTGTAAAATGCTAAACTCAGAAAAAGGCCTAATACTGAAAATCCAAACAGAATGTGCTGTACATGGCCCTATCAAATTTGGGACATTAACATATTTGGAATACTAGTCGAACATTAGCGTGTATGTAATTGTTCTCAATATGTATTGATTAATTGATACTGGATGGATAGACCAAACCATCACCTCCTGCTTGGAGAGAATAAAGGGGGACATTTGTGTGGGGACTCTCACATTGAGTCATCAGTAATTATGACACGACACAGGACACTTTATTCTAGACTGTGCTTTATTATTGGGCTAAGCTGAGACGCATCATTCATTTAAAATTACAAAAAAAGAGTTCAGGGGACCAGAGAATGGTGCAGTCTGGAGAGACAGGGGCGGGAGCCTAAAGCGCACTGCCCAATCAGAAGCTTAGCTCATCAGGAACCCGGCAAAGCTTAATATGCAACATTCATTTCCCCACCCTCTGTGTGTGCTGAAATTGGGAAATAGATTTCCAGAATACTTTGAAAACCATATGAAGGAAAATGTGATTCTAGCAACACTACTGAGCTTTAGAAATTAAAACCACTGATAACAGCACTTAAAAGAATGATAGTAAACTCAATTGTTTTCGATGAGATAGTGCAGTTTTCATTGAATTTTGCTCTTGGTAGAACACATCAGCTGAACAAGATCAGAGCTCCGTCAAACAATACAAAGCAAGATGGGAAAAACAGGGAGGAGGGGAATAAAGATTTCAAAATCAAAACTGGCGTTTTATGCAGGCAGTTAATCAGTGATTAGCAATCCGTCAGACATTAGATCCTTACATATTAGCAGCAACTTGTAGTGACCTCAAGGCATATCTTCTGTTGTGAATACATATCTGATTGAACAGTTGGTTTATGAAGGAGTGTTTGAGTTGGAATTGCTCCTTTTTTTTTTACTTTGTTTAAAGGTTTCAGGACGGGAGCAAATGGTGTTCAGAATGACAGAGGAATCCTCTAATTGGCATCTCTTTTTAACAATCGTTTAACAAAGCTAACTTTTTTTTGGAACAGAACAATGAATTTGTAAATACAAATACACATAAGGCTTTAGTATTGCACTGCATTGTTTTTGAAGAGTTTATCAGCAACAGGAAAAATGTAAAATCAGTCTTTGTAGCTGTTAAGTTCAGAGTTTGCCAATACTCTAAGAGTGGTAAAATGTGATGTGGTGATACAAAGCGGAACAGATCAGTGGCAACAAGAGAGCTCAGATCTTGAATCAAACAGCACGAATAAATAAATACATAAACACAAATAAATAAATAAATAAATAAACGCATAAATAAATGATTAAAAATCTGTCTTTGACATCACTTGGTCAATAGGAGCATTTTTCCCCATCATCAAAGAAGTGCTGAAGGCATGGTCCTGCAGACAGGAACAATGATCATCTGTGGACCACAACAGTGGCCCATGCATGTCATATAAAAACTATTTGGTCACGTACCAACTCATAGAAAAATAATGCCATGAAAGCATGCATATTATCTTAGACATGACTTATTAAATAAATATCTAAACAAATAGATAAATGAATAGAACCCATCAAAGTATTTTTTTTTTTTTATAAAATAGGTCAATGTGTGTCTAAGCTCTAACTGAGGTCAATGCTCTCCCTGACTGTATTCTGGATAAATGCCTTGGTCAGGTCCTACAGTTTGTACCGTATCCTAGCGACTATTTTTTTTTTTTTTTTTTTTTGTACCTGGTTTTATTGAGCATTATCATGTTTTTCATTCATATATTTTTTTTTAAAGTATTTAAAGTACTTTATCCAGTCCTTGTAGATAGAAGTAAAAGTCCTATAAAATATGCAAACCTATGTACAGAGGAAAACAGAGCAAAAAAAGGAAACAATTTACAGTATATTCATCGGTTTATGTATATATTTATATTTATATATATTTATATTCAAACTTCTGCTCTGTTTCTTGTTGTTTTTGAACCACGATACTTTGTTTTACTTTTCTCATGTAAACTTGCAGCTTAAAGTTGGAGCAAATGAAGAAGAGGTGCTTGGCGTTCTAGTTCCCGCGGTCGTTCTTGCTTCCCCTCCCTCATTTCACTCGACATGAAAACATGGGCTGGGTGAAAGACATGAGTGATTGCTCAAACAAACCATTAGAAAAGCACAGACCGCGTTGACACCATTTTCAGTTTTCTCAGAGCGGCGAGGGGGCAGTCAAAGAGGGCACACAGTGTGGCGATCAGGGACACCAGACATATGACATTTAGCTTCAGATGTTATTGTCGGCTCAAAGGCAGCTCAGGTGGATGTACAAGGCGTTTTTGTACGAACCAACCGCGGATACTGTCGGAGCAAAAATGATCATGATGGTCATCTGGTCATTGTTGTGTGGCACATACAAACAGTGGCGTCCTGGGATGTGTAGTGGCGTCTTTTAGCCTCACCGGATTTGAAGGTAAATGTTAAATTATTCAATCTGCTAAAAAGGTTAGACACAGACACTAGGGAAATGGCATAATGAGCAGTTTATAGGAAAACTAGTAACAGCACCCAACAGGAAGCATTGTCTTCCAAAGTGTCATATAGCCTTATAAATATTCATGTATATAAATATTCATTGAGTAATCTCCACCAGCTGAATATGTGTTGAATGCAGGGTCCAATAAATCCAAGTCTGTTGACCTTTTGCAGGTATATAGTAGGTGTTCATACCATTTTTGTCGACTATTATGAGAAACTGTATGCTAAAGCAATATGAAACCAGCCCCAGTGATACAGCAGTTGTAATGGGTAAATGGCTTTTCACTCTTATTGCTTCATTTTACAGTTTCATTATGCTTTAATACTTGATTGTATGAGGACATATATAACATAAGGCAATATAACATCTTCTAAAGGATATGCTTCATGTCAAGCTTTACCAGCAGAGGTCCACACATTAACTGCTGGATGGGAAAGTACATAAAACCTCTTATTCTGCTCGATGGGAAGCCAGCTCTCTAATTATAACGTACTCATCAATATTACATCACCTTCATAACCATTAAAACCCTCACGTCAGGTCCAATAAGCTCAATCACTTCTCATATTAAACCATGTCATGTCAACCCTGAACTTTACCCTAGTTTTGACTCCAACCAGTGGAACGTAGTCACAGGTGCCCTGCACACAACTTTGATAGTTAGCACCTGTGCTAACAGGTTACCTAATGCCCGCTTTTATCTGAAGTGAAATCGCATGAGTCTACGTTTGTTCTAAATGCATTTTTTTTTTCAGAGACATTGATGGACCAACAGTTGTTGGACGGTTTGTTATATTGGACATGCACTGAAAGCTCTCTACGCTGCTGACAAATGATATGGATCTGGCTGTAGTTTTGACATCATAATAGCGCGTTGGCTGCTTGCAGTAGTGTGTGTTTGTTTTTTTTTCTTTGTTTTCTGAGAGCACAGTGCTTGATGGCAGATTCTGCAGGTGACAAGGCACACCTTGACATGGTGACAGCCCATACGCTACATGCACTTTACTGAATGCAAAAGAGAGCAAGGGTTGTGAGACGTATTCATTTTGGTTCAAGTTTCAAAGAGAAGTTTGTGTGTGTGTGTGTGTGTGTGTGTGTGTGTGTGTGTGTGTGTATGTATAAGCTCAAAAGATATGTTTGGAATAGAGTCGAAGATAATTGTCCTTTTCCTCTAAAATCATTTAGCCTGATTCTCTTAAAGCCTGCTACTGAGATGTGGCTTTTTGCATTTTCAGATAATATTTACACCATATGTGTATTCTCACACATGTATCTTTTAGCAATATATTGTGTGTCAGCATATAGGTAATCAGAGATAGGAATGCCTGCAGTTTTGGGAGCTGCCAGATTTGCGATTCTTCCCAAGCAGAGCAATGTTTCAAACTCCAGCTAAAATCTACAAAAAATTACAGCTCAACATAGTCAGTCGCCGTTCTATATACAGACACACATATATAAAATATGTGCATATAAATACATATATTTGTTTGTGATTAATATCTATTTATCCATATATACTGTATATATGAATACATTTGCTTGAATGCTTGTTATACATATATATGTACTGCAAATATAAACAAGTTCATATATTTCAAACGTTTCTGATGTTATTCTATCTATGAGGTTAGGATGTCAAGTTAAAAAAGATAAGGCTGTGATACGGAGCAGCCCCTCCCATGCACTCGCCATCCCTCCCAAGACAAAATGAGAAGAGAAAAAAATAAACATTTTGAGTAATTGTAAACTAGCGAAGTGAGAGACCCCATTTGGTCATCTGAAATAGTTTTGCCTGTATTCAAAAAGCATATCAGCAATATATATGTATATATACATGTGTTGTATATATTCGAAATGTACACTTCTTTTAAGTGCAACTCCTCAACCAGTTAACACTGACTGAAAGAGATGCAGTGGTCCGAGTATATTAGAGCTACAAGTCCTCAGCAATAAAAATGTTTGGTCTTTTGGTCCCTAAAACAACTAAGGAATGACAGGTAAGACTCCCTGGAGACCGTTGCTATGGCTCTCCTTGGCAACGGTATCCCCTGGAAACGGACAGGCACTCCGAGCTAAAGATGGCCATCCCAAATCGAAGCCAATTTGTGTCCTGAAAATATCACATTCCCTACTTAAGTTCTCACTCCAAGAATTTCTTGTCCCTTCTTGTTTCAAGTCTTATAAATTGGTCTTCAAAAGTCAACTGCCCCAAACTCAAACCATCTTACAGAAAGATCTCCTACGGCAATCTTCTATTCAGTTTTTAAAAAGTTTTGTTCTTGGTGGACTTTTGACATCCATATTCCCTTTAAGAGTTCAGTGGGGTTGGTCATTGTAAGTAGGTTTGATAGAGTTTTCTTTTACTTTTTTTTTCTCCTCACTGTTCAAGTAAAAGTTTTTGTGGTCCAGAAAAGGTAGCTGTCATTCAAGCAGGGTTTTGTGGGGAAAGAGGTGTGTATATGTGTGCAGAAGAAAAAAGGTCCTGGGGCTAGCCAGGCTGGTACAAATTCTCTCTGAGTTCCAAAGTTTTAGTACATCCAAAAGGAGGTGTCCTTGACTCGGTCATCACTCTCTCTCTCTCTCCTCTGTTTCTGAAGCAGCCTCAGTGGTCCAGATGTTGAGTTTGCACTCAGTGGCGGGTAGCAAGAAGTCAACATATGATTCAGCTCAACAAAACCTGAAAAGCACAGGAGAAACAAAACTCGTTTGAGTCAGGTAATAAGTTGGAAAACAAAACAAATTCACACTAAATTGTGGTAAAGCATATGATTTATGGAACATTTTTAGCCACAATAGTGACGTAGCATCAGGGATGGCAATATCAATCAGTTAGTTGGTTGCTCCACCACTTTGGTCCAGACTGACATATCTCAACCACTACAAATGGAGAGTTTATCATTTGTTCTCAAGGAGGAAATTCTTTTGATTGGATTGCAACTTTGGGGATCCCATGCCTTTTTCTTTGGTGCGACCATGAGGCTGACATTTTTAGACCTTAGTTTGATATCTTGACAAGTTGTGGATGGATTGCAAGACAATTTGGTACAGATATTCAAGGTACCCAGAGGATAAATTCTAAGCCTCATTTCTACCAAGCGGACCGGTTGAGTTCAGTTCAGTTTATCACACATTAGAACGGTTATTTTTGTGTTTCCAATGTCAAAGTTGTGGATGGCGCCAAGAAGACTGCCCCATGACATCCATTTTTCGTCACCCTTATGTTGAGGTACCTTACACACTGATCTGATACTCGAAGGTGGAGCTAGAACCAATGCAGTCCATTGACTGGTCAAGAGAAAATCATCAATCTTGCTCTACAAGGACCCACAAACCATGCAACCCTGTACTGTGGACGATCAGTGAGTTAGAGACGTTCCTCTGCATTGCTAGTGAAGAGGAAATAAAGCAAGAGTTGAATGTAGCATTGATGCAGCTGTTACTATCTGGTAACCACCATGCCCAATGTCTGCAGTGGAAATGCTAAACAGATCTAAGGTGTAGATACATGTCCGTCTGGGTAACGTACTGGTTCTAAGGGTACCAACCTATACCGAAAGTGTTTGGAGGAAACGTGGCTTTAACGACTCCCCTGGTGAGTCAGGATGGATTAGGATGATATGTTGTGCACACATTCATGGTTTGAGATGCTGTATCTCAAGGACTGTGGTGATTCCAGCACTTTTCCTCTAGCCCCACCATCACATTGTCTTTAGTGGTAAATTGTTTTGACAACTATTGAATGGATTGCCGTGATAATTCTAATCGTCTAAGAATTTAGCATAGCGTAAGTTCAGGCAGGACATGATGTCAAGCTCAGCTCCCGTCCCAGCTACATCAGCTGATCTCAAACAGCCAATCAACTGATGGAGCAGCTGATTAATGGAAGGGAGTCAGCTGATAGATCACGATTCCTTTCTATGCAACCATTTGGCAAATCTCATTCAGGGCGCCCTATTTAAACTGCTCTGGCCTGCCTAGTGTTGCTGCGTCCTCTGTAAGCCACTTTGCAACCCACCTCCACCCCAGCTCCTCCTTTTCATGTTGTGTCTGACTTATCAATGTTATTTGTGTTTTTCATTGATGCTTGCTGTGGTCTGTTCCTGGGGGTTCTTTGCTACAACCTCCCTGCCCTTCCATGTACCTACACCCTTCCACGTGCCATGTAGGCACTCCACATAGGCACGTGGAAGGGCAGAGAAGTGTGCTCTCTCTGCCTAAAGGCTTTCCACGTAGGCGCATGAAAGATGCTTTCTGTGTAGACCTAGGAAAGGCAGAGAGGCCCCAGAACAGAGCCATACAGTCAAATATAATACTGCAAATGGAAATAAAATGTTCTTTGACTTAAGTGTTCCTGACTTTGCTTTATTACCAAATGCCAGCAAAACTGGTAACATTCCCATCAGCCTCAGCTGCACTTTGTGTTTAGAACTAATAAGCAATTGTTTGCATGCTAACACTCTAAGATGGTGAACATGGTAAACATTATACCTGCTAAACATCAGCATGCAAGCATTGCCACTGGAAGCATTTCAACATGCTGATGTTAGCATTTAGCTCAAAGCACTGCGAGTACAGCCTCTCAGAGCCCCTGGTGAGGAGTAGAGTAGGAGAGTAGAGTCTGGGTCTTGTTAGCTTTTCATTATTAATACACTTGATATTAATTGTGTGTTTATAAGAGCTATAAATATCCAACAATTATATGCTCTAATTGTATGTGTCGTTTGTTTGGTCATTTGTTTGTTTACTTGGATCTTTATTAGACAATTCAAAGAGACAGCTTGTTCCTCTGGGCTCAAACATTTATTACATAAGAGATCAAATTTCTACATCACATCAGAAGAAAAAGTTAATGTGTGAAACATTTGTTTTTACTGTTAATTTTTTTTCAGTGACTATGTGCAGTGTATTCCCTATGTATCCTCCTGTGCTGTTAATACTTGCTGTATTTACATGCAGATGGAGCAGTGGGATATGTATTTACAGGACATCTTCACCAGCTCTAAGACACTTAAGTTCTGGTATGGATAAACAAAGATAATTTTGCGGAGACAATGTTGAAAACAAATCAGTGCTCACCCTGCAGTGAATTAATTTAGCTCCCTGGCAGTGATGCTGTAATCTCCCCAGTGAAAAACAATTACGATTGTTTTTTTTATTTAAATCAAACCGTTTATTGCTGTTTTTGAAATGATGAAGGGATTTTAATCAAGACACACCTTAACCCTCGTGTGTCATTAGAAGGAAAACAGTTCTCCAGCTTGCTGTCTGAATATGGACTTGTCAATTTGATAACTGCGTGCCAAAATAGTGCGTGATGATTATATTTGGGTATAAGAACAGTAAAACTGGGGATGCAAGTGAAAAAATGGCAATAAGCTTGTTTATCAGTTGACATTTCAAACACTGTAATAACTGTCAATCTTGGGCGAAAAGAAACGGAAATCAAAAAGAGATGTTTTCTCTGCCTTCCCGTTGAAAATGTTTTTATACATCAGAAGTAATGGTGCCACATATTTTGTGACACATTCATATGAGATCGCGCTTTTCTTCCCGCAGTGATTTGCCTCGGGACACCGTCTGGTATGGTTCAGCTAGTTTGTGAGTGGGTGATAAGTTGCCCTTGAATGAAGTCATCAGTGGTGAATGAACGACACAGCCTAAACTCTCCATCACACAGATGAAGGGAGGAGACAAAGAGGAACAGCACAATTACCCGCCTGAGGGGTAATAAATGCCTCTCCCTTGGAAGCAATTCCTTCCCTGTGCAACACACTGAACCATTTACCAATTATCTTTTACCTACAGGGTAACATACAGGGTCACTTACTGTAAAGCTGTTCTACAAATAGAGGAGGCTTCGTGTAAGTAAATGCTCCTACAGCTTTGTTTGTTTCAACCAGCCATGAAAACTGACAGTAGTATTTATATCAACTGTGTGGTAGAGAGCAGAGAGTTTAATAATAAAGTAATATATTTAACATTTCTTATTCGTAATATACTGTTAGTCATCGTCAAAACCTGGAAGTTTTGTTCTCATATGTGCATGTAATGCCGCCCATAAGAAAACTGGCAACAATACACTACAGTAAATCTTGAGTCATGATTATGTGGGTGGAATTAACATTTACAAATGCGCACTTGAACTATCAACAAAGGGGTAAAACTTCATCACTATTCTTTACAAGCAATTTGCAGATGATCAGCTAGTTATTAGGCATCTGCAAATGTTTTATGACATTTATAAAAGGTTACTGAAACGACATCAGGCAGTGCCATGAATGGGCTTGCCATTTGAGCATTTGTCAGTATAATACACAGCGGTTGTGAATGCATTGGTTCAGCTAATCACCCATCAAACTGAAAAGCGACAACAAATGTTTCCACGCAGAGGCGAGGTCGGTGTCTGACCTGTCTTTCCCTGTGTGCGACGGCTGCCCCGGCCGCCAGGGTGGCGGCGGCTGGCTGGGGCAGGGGGCTAGTAGGGGCGGTTGGCATCCTTTGGCCTCTTCAGCTGCACCTTGAGTCTTTTCATGCCGATCTGGAAGCCGTTCATTGATTGGATGGCAGCTTGGGCACTACCTGGGTTGTCGAAGCTAACAAACCCTGGGGGAAAGGCCAAAAGAGGGAGAGAAGGACGGATGTGGTTAGATGAAGAGGCGAGGACAGTTTGGGATCACAAAAGAATGGATAATGAGGATGAGCTTAATAAGATGAAGCAGTCTTTTACATGAATTTATAATTATAAAACTTTTTCATCTGTATGTAAAACAATAACATTCACACAAAATGCACTATTAGTTCTAAGCATTAATACAATAACTAGTAAATACAGCACTTCATAATCATTAGTAAAGCTGACACAGAGTATGACAACAACAATAGATCACAACTGTAACAGAGCGCAGCATGCAACCAAAATCACAATATGAACTTGGTGATGGGATGTAAAAACCAAAACATCGACGTGGTTGTGCTGTATTTGAGTTTCGGTTTTTAACTTCCACTCGAAAGTGAGAGAGCATCAAATCACGAAATGAAAAACCTGCATCTCAAAATTGCAACATGAATAATACAACATTAACGTTGTGTTGTATTAATGAGCAAAAGCTACTTTGCAAATAGGTTGCACCTGACGGACTCTCCATTAACTATTCTCCACAATCCATTTATAATTTGCCACATAATTATACGTTATACGGCTAAATTGTGCTGTCAGTGGCATAAAGTGAGACAGCGGTCTCTCTATCTCTGCATGCTGAAGCAACTGTTATATTCTCAGCATGCAGTGCTTTTGCTTACAGTAAGTTAGAGACTGAGAGTCAGCACTTGTATTATATGTCATAAAGAGCACAGCGGCAATGCAACTGTGCAAACATGGCATTAAAAACAGAGCTCACGTCTATCGTGATCAGTCTGACTGTTGATGTTACAACAGTTATATATATATATCACTGAAATATTTATCAAAATAAGAAATTAGCCGGAGCTTCAAAAGACAACAGCTTTCATGATTAATAGAAAAATCCAGACAAACTCATTCTCTTTTCTTTTTAGTAACAACCAGCTTTTGCACAACTCTAGAGAAATTCTCGTCTGTTTTCTTCTTCTTTTTTTTTTTTTTTTTTAAGGGGGGGGGGGGGGGGGGGGGGGGGGGGGGGGGGGGGGGGGGGGGGGGGGGTTGACTGCGGTAAAGAAGGTGATTAGTAAAAAAGAATAATCAGAATAAATAACCAATAATCTTTTGGTTTGTTCATTTTTACCCACCAAAGCATTTACTTTGGTTTGTCGCCCGATCCACAAACACTTTGGAGGAGATGACATTACCGAAAGGCAGGAACATCTGCATCAGCTCTCCATCCCCAAACTCCTGTGGGAGGTGGTAGATGAACAGGTTGCAACCCTCTGGTCCTGCACAGGGAAACAGAGAGGGAGAGACAGAGAGGGGGAGAAAGAGATAAGGGGCAAAGGTCAGAGAAAAGGAGACAAGGAGAGGGAGAGAAGCATGAAAGGTTGACAGCGGCAGGAGGAGACTTTGAGATGAAGTGGATAGAATAATGTACTCTCTTTCCTTACTGATTTTAAGTAGTAGGAAAAACATGATGTCACAAATCAGGATTAAGCAACATTAAAGCTAAAACTATTAGTTGATTAATCGATTAGTCAACAGACAGGCAACTATTTGAAAATCTATTAAAAATCAAAAAGAAAAATCCCTCAGTTCCAGCCTTTTAATTGACTTATTTTTTGTTATTCTTTGTCTCATGAGACAGCAAATTAAATATCTTTCGGTTTTGGACTGTTGGTCGGACAAAACAAGACATTTAAAGATGTTATTTGAACCGTTTCCTGATGAAGCCGGGGCTCATTTCACCAAATTTGCAATATAAAAGCTCCGATCTGCCACATGAGATCGTATCCTCCCCTGTTAATTTCGCTGTTCTGTAGTTTCCCTAATCAAAACAAACACTTCCAACCCATGTATGAGCATGCGAGAACCCCGCAGGACTTGCAAATTGCAGATACATTTGTGAGTCCTGCGGGGACTCTTGCATAACTCGCAAATCACTTTTGTGAAAGTTGGTTGAGGATTTGAGAGTTAAAAGGAGAACTACACCCATTTTCAAATTTCATATGTTATTCCTGTGGTCTGACACAGTCTGAATATCTAAGTAAACATGAGCAAGTCTCCTAAATTAAAAAACTGGAGTGCTAAAACTCAAATTAGTGACGTCATCGGGAGCTGCTCCACAGAGAATGAATTGGGAAAGATGTTCTAGATCATACTGAGAGCGCCCAGGGGAATGCTCTGAATGTGTGGGTACATTTTCTGTTTCAGCTCCAGACTTTATACTTGATGACATCACAAGTTTGAGACTTACTTCTCAGGTTTCCGGCTTTGACAGAGAGAGGCTCATGTTAACAAATATTGATTTAACTTCCCAAGGCCATGGAAATAACATATTGGAATTCCTAAATTAAATGTTGTAATAATAATAGCTACAAATGTTTTCCTATGTTAAAGAAAATACCAGATTTCTTTACCAAGACTTTCATTTTATAGAACTTAAAATATATTCTCTCTAATATTAAAAGTGAAATCAAGTTTGGCATCAAAGCTGCAAAGTGCAGAGCAGTTTATCTCAGCATGCAGCCAGTAATTCTGGGTCATCTGACAGTTTGGGCTGTAATGGAAAACTCACAGCTTCAGCATTAAGAGTGTTCAGGTATCCCCGATCAGAGGGCTACTAACTGCTTCAATGGAAGCCTCTGGGATGCCACAGCTGTTAAATGATGTGCATTGTTTTGTTTATTTTCCACAAGAGGGCAGTAATGTCCCAAGCATGGGTGTCCCAAGCAGGGAGGTCATTGAGTTCATTGGTAGGTTTACAGCTCAGTTTGAAACCCTGTGTAACGGTAGTAAAGTTAGTTAACCTCCAGCCGGCAAGGATGGCATCGTACATATACCATGTCATAACCTGACACTCTTTATTGTGCTTTATTGTTCGATTTTAAATGTGTCCCCTCATTGGTGTCTTTAAAAGGGCTGAAAAATAAGAGTTCAAGCTCGTCAGTCGTCTCTTATCAATCCTGACTGATGCTATACTCTGCGCAAGTGTGAGCACTCTGAATATTTTGCTTTAACAGAATGGCGAGAGGTGAGATCATCATGGCTGAAAACAAAGTGAGGACCGGGTATTTTTAAAACGTGGGTGTTTATTCCAGGGCTGTACTGGCGAGAGGATTAAAGTCAAACAGAGAAGTAAATATGAGTAAATGTTTGCGGCATGTATGAATATTTAGGAGTGAATGGTGTGCCGAGTGTGTGTGTGTGTGTGTGTGTGTGTGTGTGTGTGTGTTACCTTCTCGTTGCTGCTGTGGAATGATGGGTGGAGGGTGGGGGAAGGCTTGGCTGATCTGTCCGTATGCAGCGGGGTAGGCTGCTGAGACACACACACACCGACACAGCACGGATCAGATAACAGTCATGACTCGAGCGCACGCACACACTCGGATACATACAAACAATGTGATATATGCAGGGGCACAGCAGGCAATCGATCAGATAACAGACAATAGAGTCTACATGTTACACACACACACACACACACACACACACACACACTGAACACAACAGAGGGAATAAATTGATGTAGTGAGACCGAAACACTTAATGTTACATGATCAAAATTCAAATTCAAACAAAGGAAGCTTTATCTTTTTCCTTTCGTTTTTCTCTGTCATCTCCCTCCTTCTCACACCTACACACACACACACACACACACACACACACACACACACAGATCAGTGCTGCTGTGAGAGTGACAGACAGACCTGCATACTGCTGGACTCCTGTGTAAGCCTGCTGGAGAGGATCAGCTGCAGTGGGACTTTGAGCTGCTCCACCAGAGACACAGAGAGAAGAAGAAGGAGGTGGGGTGGAGGGGGGAGCATGGATGGATGGAGGTGTGTGTGTGTGTGTGTGTGTGTGTAGGGGGAGAGAGATGAGGCAGAGAGAGACGGAGGGAGAATGTAGATGGAGGAGAGGGCACGGAAGGAAGGCGAGAGTAATATATAACGAGGGTGAGAGGGAGGAGGGATGGAAGGAGAGGCGATGGAGAGAAGAACAGACAGGAGAAGAAGAGCAGAAAGGTTAGAGAGCCGAACAGTGAGGTGTCAGCTTGCTTTGCTTTCAGCGTGTGAGGAACTGAATTCTGAAAATCTCTCACTCCTTCGCCGGGCTTTTTACTTTATGTTGCTCCTAAAGTATTTCAAAAAGTAGCTCTTTTTTTTTTTTCAACGGAAGCAGAAAAGTAAAACTTTGAAGGACCACAGTGAAAACAAAATAAAACAACAACACACAGCTCCACTGTCACCACAGGAAAGGAAAATAATTTCTATCTATTATAAACAAATCCTATGCAGAAGAAATGCATTAATTGTTCTAACAATCTGCTGCAGCTACACATTTAAAACAAGACAATTACAATACACACTCACAGCACGGGATGCACCTGTTGCTATCGCTTCACATGTGGGAGATACATTTAATTATTAAAAAATTACACGTGAAAATATTCCCCCCATTCTAAACACACGTGTAGCTACCACAGATGCCGCGCCACACTTTATAACTACCCATCTGTACACACAGTACATGCACATTAAGTACACCACTGAGAGAACACACACTCACACACACCGATAACCACGTACACACACTGATAACCCCATGACCACTAAAAACCAAAGAAATACTGAACACACCGTGGACTAACAGCAACACTGAAACACGGTTCGGATAGCTGGACGAGAGGAGAGAATTATGGGCTCAAATAAAGGGCAATAAATCATACGCTTGTGAAACAATTTCAGAGCCAGTGGTTGTGTATAATCCTGTGGTTGTATGACAAAAATAAAATGTGTGAATGTGAAGAAATATCTGTAGCTGTAGATTTTTTTGTGAACATCTTAATTAATTTTATGGACAAATTATATCAATGATCAATCAAAGATTCAAAGGCAAAAGAACTGTGAAAATCTGAGTGCAGATTCAAAGAAGAAAACTGAAAATCAATGCTCAAAGTTCCCCTGCTTTCAGCTCCAAAATTAGGGCCAAAATTCGTTCTTGTGACGTCAATGTGTATGACGTCTAACACTGCAAAAAGAAAGTGGGGAGTTCAGCACTTTTCTCCTTTGAATCTAAACTCAGTTTTTTTTTTTCTACAGCTACAAACCTTTGCTAAACACTCATAACCCTGAATTTGTCATGCAGTTTTTTCACAGGTTTATAAAGGCTGATATTAAACCACAGACTTTGAAATTATTTCCCAACATTATTCAACAAACTCAAAATCTTATCGACCTTTATTCGAGCCCATGGGGATGAGGGGAGGAGGGGGGAGCCGAAGAGGATAGGAAGGAGGGAGAGGAGCGCTACCTTCAGAGAGAGAGGAGAGGAAGCAGCCACCCTGAACCCCAAAACAACTCCGCGGAGCCACGCCCAAGCCGTTTTTCTCCGAGTCCTCCCTAAAAACCACCTCCTGCAACACTGGAGAGACAAGAGTGTAAAGGAAAAAAAAAGACAGATTTTTCTTCCACCTCCTCACAGACAAAAAAACCCAATGAGGTACTAGCCACGGCTCATGACACAAGCGCATACTTAGGCTCCAGCAGCCCATAAGCACCTTTGCCAAACACTCATCTCCTCGACATGCTGACTGTCTGTGGGCTAAATTCGTCTGGCCTCGGCCTCCTGAACATGCTTCAAGGCTATTCACGCCTGTAAGCCAGCAGCATGCACACTTTCCCCTTATAATGAATGCATTTACTGCAGAGTGTGTCTATAAGGATTTAAGTTTCATTTTCATGGTTTAATAATATAGCAGCAGTATTGTTATTATCATTTAAATGTTTCTGTATCTCTGAGAGTTAGTTTGTATGTTTGCATACATGCCCCTGACTTTACCAGACTTACCAGGGTAATGGTGTATCCCGTTGGTGAAGACAGCCTCTGCGGGAGGCTGCCCATTTGCCTGGGGGGGCGGCATGCCAGTAAAACCATTTACACTAATGGGGGAGGGGATGCTGGTCACTGTGGGGGCGCTGATGCCTGGAGGAGTACTGCCACCTGCAGCCGCGGGTCAGACGGGCAAAGACAGAGAAAAATAGTAAGCATTCCACTGTACTGTCTTTTTTTTTTTTTTCTAAAGACATTATGGAGAAGTTTTACTTTGACTGGCCACCTAAATGTCAGAGGGGTCGGTCCAGTGGGCCGGTGAAGACACTAAATGTCAGGGCTGATTTCTCGTCCCAGTATGGCCCTTACTGTGACACAACAGCCATTAGATGCGAACCTTAGACATATTGTATAAGAATGGTGAACACTGTGTTGAGGATATCTTATGGGTACCAATTATGTGTTTGTCTCAGATGATTGCATGTTATGCCACAGTGAGTTATGCTCGTTTGCAGCCCTTCAGTGCATCTAAAAACACGTATAGATTCTGGGTGAAAGTATGCCTATTCGAATCCAGTGAAAGTTGTTCATGTCTACTGTATTTTTCCACTGCAATACGACAGTAAGGCCTTAAAGGAACATACTGTTTTTATTCATTACATATTACCTTGCTGTTACCACTGTTTTTAAAGGCACCTCATATGTTTGTTTTTTTTTATTAGATTTTCCACCATTATAATGTTGTTTTATTCTAAAAATCGAGTGAGTGAAAAACAAAAATCAGATATACTGGATAAAGAGTGTCATGCACTGTCAACTGCATGTCCTGTTGCCCTTTCAGTAAGCTAGGCTATTGTTGTCCTCTTCGCTAATGCTAAATGGAGGAAGTTAGCGAGCTGTGCTTAACGGATCATGACACCAAACCATTTGAGTAGTGTTGTGAGGAAGCTGTTTGTATTAGACACCATAGATGGAGAAAATTTGGATAAATAAGACAGTAACAGTACAGTTTGCTTGTAACTTGGTGAGACAGCAACACAGATGCAATGTAGTTTAGGATTAGACTACATAGGTTGCACTCCAATTAATGTGAACAAATGACTCCCTACTTTGATAAGATGGACAAATATGCCTAAAAATTCAGTACGCCTTTTGACCTTTTGGTTTTTCCCCGCTGTTACCTGACGTCGGGGTCAGCGGTGCTCCCGGGAGGCCATTGATGGTGGCCATGTGCTGCATCTGTGCAGCAGCGAAGGCTGCCATTGGACTGAGGTAGCCTCCCTGGCCTACAGACGCCATCAACGCCGCCTGCTGCTGCACCTGCACAGTGGAGGAGAGGAGACTTTAAGGAGGGTGGAGAATAATGTAAGGAATAGGAGAAAGACTTTGAGGCTACTGAATTACGAAAGACAAAAAGGAAGCAGTGTTAAAGGAAAGTGAGAAAACAGAAACTAATAGATAATATCCAGGTATTGAATCTCATGATATGTTTTTTTTCCAAACCAGCATTAATAAAGACATCTCACATCACATCCTGAGGAAATATTCTTCCTAATTGGAGGGAGAGCTCATCTGTTTTTTGCTATCTCCGATTCAGATGTGAGCTAAGCTTGAGCACTCCATTTAATCTTCGTGGTTCATTGAATAAATAACTGTGGATAAAAAAAGATGTTTTGCGGGGCGTCTTGCCTGAGCGTAGGCTCCGTAGGCTCCAAACTGCAGGGCCATAGGGTTGAAGATGCCCATCTGACCAGCCATCTGCTGCATGCGGCGGATGGTGCGCTCCTTATCCGTGTCGGCGAACTTCACCACCAGACTGGATGAGGCGCCCTGTGCACCCACCCATCCACCCACCCACACATAAACACACAAACACGCCCACGCAGTACATGTTAGTGCATATTGATACACATGACATAAGCTACGCATCCTCTCCTGCCAAAGCAATAGCATCAGAGCCGGAGCTGGCACCCGCTGCCCTGAGATAGTTTGGCTGGGTCATGTGCAAAAGACAAATTTTCTTACTGGGATTAATAAAGTATAGCTTAACTTAACTTTAAGAAGGTAATTAAGCTCTCTGTGACTCATCTCTCTCTTCGTGACTCACCTCTCTCACATAAATCTACATGCTCACGGTTAGGATGTACTCACAGGCATTGTCTGGCTGCCGTGTAGTGCACTGATGGCTGCCTGAGCTTCAGCATGAGAGGAGTATTTTACAAATGCACAGCCTAAAGAGAGAGGGAGAGAGAGAGAGGGGAGAAAATGACTCAGGGTAAAAAGAGACAGTGAGAACAAAAGAGAAAAGTTTGCTGAAAAGTATATCATACAGTATCACTGCAAAACATTGCCAGTAACAAGACAAAAAATAAAACGATTCCTGTTTTTTTTTGTTTTTATTTTTCATACCCGGGATAAGTTTCCTACAGCATTACAGCAACAAACACTTAGTAAACAAAGCCCTCTTTGCTGAGGAGGGCTGCATCAGTGTGGATCGACGCTCAATAAACAGACTAAACATGCCACTCTGACACCATTAACAACTTTGGGATCCTCTGATGGGGCTTAAAATGCCACAGCATTCTGGTGTCGCTTACTATTGACAAGCCCCGTTGATGAATTTGAATGATCAAGTTCCCAGTAATTATTGAGCTAAAGCCCACTTAGCCGAGTAAGCTGGCTGATGAGGCCTTGTTAATGGAGCTTCACGGAGGAATCAGAATGATCAAGCCCACTGTAATCATCGGGCTTAGTTATCATCGGGCCTCATTGATTGGCTGCTAAGCCCACTGATGAACTTCATGCAGTGAACTTGTGTAGCACTCTGACAACATTTCGGAAGGACATTTTTCTGGCATGACATGAAGCCTTGTGGTTAATAAGGAGGTTGACTTGTGTTTTTCTCCCTTATCAGAGCCATGTAGGTTGACTCATGAGGTTAATGGGGTTCATCTGTAAAGAGCTGCTGGTTTATATCGCTCATTCCTTTGGGCAAAGCCTTCAGATGGCATTTACTGTTGAAACTTACAGAATCTACAGTATTCTTATGTAAACCCTCCTCTGATGATTGTGGAAAAGCCTGCTTTGATATCGCTCAACATGGAGTGTTTAAGGGGAACTTTGCAAAGTCACCAACTTTGAAAGGCCAAATCATTTCTGTGTAGCAGCCTGTGAAAAAACACAGGGTGCTGGCTCAAAGTCATAAACAGCTATAAACTCACCTTTGCTGTTTCCGTCGGGACCTCTGAGGATGGTGCATTCCTCGATGCTGCCGAAGGACTCGAAAAGGCGCCGCACGTCATCTTCTGACTGTTGCTTGTTGAGCATGCCCACAAAGAGCTTTCTGTCTTCTAAACGGAAAAGGAATAGGTCACGATCAGAGGATCACAGATGCCGTTTGATATTCAACATAAAGGCACGCTATGCTCACTGAAACAGCAGCATATTTACTCTTCCTTACTTGCATGCGAAGAACGTTTTGTGACACAACAGACTGTATATGTTATCCGAGGTAACATATGTTACCCGCTGATTTATTCACACATTTTAAGATCTCAATTGGGTTTGAATGAAGCTAATGGCTTGAAGCTATTTGCTTAAACACAAATTCTCAACGAGTATGCTTATTCTAAACAATGGTCATATGTAGGTGTTTAGCTCCATTTGGAAAACATCAGCAATGCAATAACAATAGAATAACGATTAACAATTACAATAACAAGTAGCTGACAGATGCTGATAATTGTATTACATAAACAACATGTAGAATTAGAAATTTGTTAACTTTAGCAGCGCTGATGAAGCAGTCCTCGCTCATGCCACATTCAGTGGTTCTCGCTGAAGCATCTGTAGTACAATGTGTATTTAAAATAAAGCAATAGTTCTCCTTGTATAGCATGTTCCTCCTGGTTTACCTGGTTCTCCAGTTATTAATATTTTCCACCTGTGTTTCCATTACAGATTTGTAGTGGAAGATAAGCTCATGATCAAAAAAAGAAAATCTTTTTCTGTGCAGTTTCTGTCCTGTGGGAACACAGTTGGCGCCTAGCCGTGAGCATGAGCTCTGGTCACAGATGCTCATGGTGCAGCAATTCAAAGTTTGTCTGATGGTAACAACACAATGCTCGCTCACATCACGTCTTCACCATGTGCCTAATCTCTTTGGGACAAAAAGATATTGTTACCCACTAGGGCCGTAACGGTACATGTATTTGTGTCCAACCATTCGGTACACGACTTTCAGTTCGGCACGACCCTGTACCGAATTATTGGGCGCAGGATATTATTTTATTTTATTTTGTTTTATTTTAATTCCGTTTTTGCGAGCCGAACCATTTAAAATATCTAGTTCCCCGACGGACATAATTGAGTGATGGACCGAGTCCCGTAAATCTCCGCTTTCACTTTGTGCATTCTCGCATTTTGACAACATGGCAAGTGAGCCTGACGAACCTGAAGACCCACCCGCAAACAGTCCTCCGTTTGGGAACACTTTGGTTTCAGGGTAAAATACGAAGATGGAAATAAACAAGTTGACAAGACAAAAGCAGTGTGCCGACACTGCAGAACAGCGGTCGGGTATGTACTTGGAAACACGTCTAACATGCTAACACGCATCTAAAGCGACACCACCCGAGTTTGAACGTTAACCGGCACGACTAGAAAAAGCAATCTGGTGCAAACTATGATATCGTCGTCATTTAAAAAGAAAGAGCATTTCCCTGACCATCGCGCTAAAGAAATAACCAACGCCATTGGAGTTGAGTAAAATTGTTTAAGCTGCACTTTAGATATAAGCATGTTTTGTTTACTGCACTTTAACAAAGTGGGAAAGCTAAGTAAATTCCTAGTAAAACTGAATCTGAGCAGGCTTTAAAGCTGACCAGCTGCACTATACTTTTTATTTTAATTGAGTAAAACTGCTAAAGCAGAAATGTATGTTTCTATTTTTCATTCAAAAAATGTGTTAAAAAAACAGCAGGATTTTATTTTTCTCTTTTATATTTCTATTTTCATTCAAACAATGTGAAAAAGCAGGATTTTATATATATTTGTTTCATTCAAAAATTGCGTAAAAAGAGTTAACTGCTGTGGTGGTATGTTTTAATAAGGTTACCAATAAGTAAAAGATATTTAATAGTTAGATTTTTGTGTACCGTTACACCCCTATTACCCACTAATACTTCACTCACAGTCAGACTGAGTTTCCAACATGTCTGGCTCACAGTAGCTCAAAATCTAAGATGAGAGGCTGATATGATACTCCAGGTTTCATGGCAGTTCACTGAGTGAATGTTGTGGTTATCCAGTTTCTAGATTACTTTAGCTGTAGCATCTTGCTCTATGCTGTGTGAGCTGTTTGACTGTAATAATGTGATGCCAAAACAACAATCAGTGTGAAGGAATTCAGTTTCAGGCTTCTTTTAACCGTTGTAAGTAATATTCTGTCTCTCAACAACAACATGTTGAAGTAGAGGTGCAGTCACACTGTGATATATCTGAACATGAGAGAAGAAGACAGTATTTTCTCTGGTTAACTTAAGGTAAATGTATGGTGGCCGACAAGGGCAAAAACACTGTAAACCGACACAACAGAAAAAATAAAGAAGGATCTTCACCAACTGGACAACACCTGTGCAGAATAAAGAAAACATTTACCAACTTGACGACATGAAATCATCAATTGGATGACACATGCTCAGCATACAAAAAAAAAAAAAAAAAAGCTACATGACGCACACAACACAACGGAAATTGTTTCCAGGGGACACTAAAAAGTGATGCACACGGCTGTGAAACACTTGCCTGTTGCTCATTATCAGACTGATCAAATAATCTGACAAAATGCACACAATTAATTATGTCACAGGCAAACGTTAGCTATAGTTAGAACATTAATAGTTACTTTCAGAACCTGTAATTTGGGATAAGCATGTTAAATTACCCGTAGGTTTTGCTGACATGACCTACAAAATGAAATCACTTTGCTTAATTTGTTCACCAGTTAACAATAAGCTGATTAAATTACCTTTTCTCCAATTGGAGGACACTCACACTTGTTAGACCTTTCCTATGGTGCTGTAAACTTGTTTGAATTGGCAGTCTGATAATAAACAACAGACTAATGCAGACTAATGGATTTTCCAAATACAAAAAACGCATGGCCGTGTGCATCGCTTTTTCGTGTCTCCTGGAAACAGTTTCCATTTTATTGTGAGTGTTTTGTAGCACATTTTGTAAACCATGTGCGTGTGAGCTTTATTTGCTTGTGTTGTGTCTGTTTGTATTACATTTGACCCTTCTCAGCCACCGTATAAATGAGTCCCTTATACTGTAGATCATAAAGTGGGACGAGGGGATTGTTAAACGAGATATTCCATGTTTCTTCTATCATATTTTCTGTTCACATAGTTGTAAATACATTACGTGAAGAGAGATGACACCTTAGATGACATCTTAGCAACACTTTGCCCTGATGTATCTATATTTAATATGATATGTTATCTAATGTAAAGTAACAATAGCTTGTGTAACAATCTGTAAATCTGACTTATGTGGCTAATTGGCCAATTTCAGTACATCAAGTACTACCTGTGAGGAACTGTGCTCGTCACACGTATTCAAAAGACAGACATGGTGGTGTGTCTGTCCTCAGGTCAGGACATGATTAAAATTTAATGGAAGTCTAAGTTAAGTTCCACAGAGAGGCTGTCCGGGGGGTGGGGGGGAGGTCTGTTTACATGTGACAACACATTTGGTTGTTATTATTATTAAATATGCATCGCAGACAGGATGCTAGTGCCTGCTGCACAATAATGAGGCAACAAATTTAACTGTGAAACAAATGAGATAGAAATAAATACAATCTAGCAGAAGTAACAAGTGCTATACACAAGTCAAAGGTTGCACTGAATCCAACGGATAAGACATGCATGTGGGGTTGCAAGGAGGGTAACCTGTTGTTACACCGGAAGCTATGCACACATTTACCCTAACATGGCATCTGGAAAGCACACACTGTACTTTCTGTACTGAGATACATCAGATAAAACATAAGGAATGTGACTTGTTCATGTTATCAAGTCACACAGCACCAATTTAACACGTTCTTGGTCTATTTCTGATTTACAAACACATAGCATAGCAACCAGTCTTTTGCACATAGCAACTGCCGTCCTCCTCTTTCTTCAAGTTAAAATTGGCATTTCAGAACATTTGGTGAAATGTCTCTGTAGACTAAAGCAACACGTAACCTCCACCAAACTTCTCTCTTTCTATTTTTTTTCAACAAACAAACTTTCATGCTGTCAGAAAGAATTGCAGGATGATATCCAATATAAATTCTACATATATGGGTTTTAATAAAATATAGCCAGACTGAGGTCCAGCATTGGTTCATTATTCACCATGACAGCATGATTGAGTCACTGAATGAGTGTTTGAGGGAAATTGTGAGGCAGACGGTGAAAGTGTGTTAGCGCACACCAGTAGCAGATGTGTCGGTGTGCAGGGCCGTCTGTTTTTACGTTGCACAGATTCTGAGCTTTGTGGAAATGGATGTATATGTTGGGAAATTAATGAGCCTCAGTGCAATTGCCTCTAAATGCGCTCTGCAAATTAACGTGTGTGTGTAGGTGTGGTTATCTGTGTGCGTGCGTGCGTGCGTGCTTAGGGTCCGTTCCCCGCTGCCTGTGCCTGACAGGGTGTCCTTGCAGAGTCAACAAGACTAATCTGCGCTCTGGCCTTGCACTGGGTGGGGGTGGTGTGGGGGGGGGGGGGGGCTGTTTACAAGAGTGGAGCGCACATCAGGGGTGGAGGACACACACATACACACACTGCATACACACACACATCTTGAAATGTTTGGCCCCCCACCTTCTCACACACACACACACACACATACAAATTCACAGTACACACCTCATTGGTGGATAAAGCCTACAGTTCCCCTGGGAAGGCACCAATAAACATTACGTCTTTCTTTGGGAAAGGACTGTTAACACACACTCACACACATGCACACACACAGTCAGCATATGACAATGACTCCCTGATTTACCTCTACTGTAATATTTAGTAGGCAAGACGATTACTAAAAATCATAAAATGTATTACTCTCTACTCCAACTTCTCTTATGTATTTTCACTGCACAACAGTTCAGCAGCATTCCTTTCTGATCATCAACAATCAGACAGTGGTGGAAAGTAATTAAGTAAATTTACTCAAGTACAAACATACAGTGTGTTATTAGAATAGTTACTAGTAACAGTAACTAGTAAGCACATGCATAAAGCTTCTAAAAAACATGCATTGCTGAAGATTAAACCAGTGTCAGCCAGACTTTTTGACTTGTGAACCCTTATAAAACACAGTGTCTAGTTTGGATTCCTCATGTGTTGGATGTCACGGGTGGAAACGCTAATTTTAGCTCCTTTTCCGGTGCGTCATTGTATACACAAAATACTGTCCTTCTCTGTCCGAGCAGTGTTCAAACATTATTCAGTATTTAGTCGGCATGAGTTTGAGAGAGAGAGACTGAAAAAGCAAAGATATAAAAACATTTCACTGGCCTCCTTACTGCTTTCTACTGTTTATGAATCTGTTTTCTGTCCGTCTGTGACATCGAATGTGACATACCAAAGAAAACAACAGCAACAACAACAAAAAAAACTCCCAAAAAAAACAAAACAGAAAGGTATACTCATCTACTGCAGAGCTGTTTAAACAGATCTGGTCCACTGGCAATGGGAAAAGAAGATATTGCCTGTTTTTAAAAGTTTTCCCACGTTAAAAAAATCTGCATACACATGCTCCTTTTGGCGGAAAAAGGCTATGAGTTGTTCCATCAAGTGAATTCCCTCTAAAATTTTCAGATGGTTTCTTTTAAATCACTGTTCAAGGCCTTAACGATCCATTATTTCATAAAGATTATTAATGGCCTTACTGCATGTGAGTAGAAACAACCAACCACAGCCGGGGAGTCTCTGACGTAGCTGTCAATAATGTCAATCGCTCCGTCGTCAGCACTCAAACTGTCAAATGAGGCAGCGCTGATCAAATATGAATTGAAGATTCTGTTACTGCATTGCTTATTTCTCACCTCAGATGTTTTCAGAAACATATTTTAGTGTGCTGTTTTGCTGTAAAAGGAGAATATTTCTTCTAGCCAGCGGGCGATGCTGTGTGCGTTGCTCGACTGTTTCCAACATGTCACAAATTTTTTCATTTTACAGCTAAACAGTACACGAAAATATGTGTCTGAAAACATTTAGGGTTAGAAATGCAGTGACAGAGTCTTGATTCATGTTAAATCAGACCTGCCTAGTTTGACAGTATGACTGTGGTCCACGGAGCGATTGACATTATCGACAAATGCATTAGAAACTCCATGGCTGTGATTGGTTGTTTCTGCCACACCGCGGTCTGATTCTAGTGAACACCATTAAAGGCAGTAGGAGAGGGGGGGGACATGTTTTTTTTAGAGACCATCTGTGTCATGTACTTGTTTCAGAATATAGTGACAGTTTCAGCAAATAAGACAAAAAGTTATTTTACCAACTGTAGCTTTAATCATCTCACAACCCCCCAGATTTATTTTGTGACCCACCGGAGGGGGCTTGACCCTTACATTAGAATCACTGGACTAAACTACCGAACTTTATTTGACATTTTTCAAAGTAGCCCAACTCCACAAGCTGCAGCAGTGAAACACTTTTTACACTGATGCATCAGTATTAACAGTCTAAAAATGTAATATATAATAACACAGGATATCAGTCACTGGGGACATTTTCTGCAGAACAACTACTTTTACATGTTAATGATAATACTTCTGTACTTTCACATCAATAGGATTTTAGACGCAGAACTTTTACTTATAATGGTTTATTTTCATAGTTCTGTGCAGTAAAGGATCTACTGTAAGTCCTTCCACCACTGCAATTAAAATGTAACACCCTGACAGTACGATGTAGCTTTGCATTCATGTCTGAGAAAAACATCCAAGGCGTAGAGAATAAAAAAAGATATAGACACAGAAATAGTCTTGAAAAAATAAGTGTTGAGACTGGATGAGTAGAATAGAAGCAGGCTGAGGATGTAGACCCAAATAACAGACAGAGGTATGGACGGCATGCATTGCCCTCACTTTGCTTCCTCACGCTTGGTGCTTGCCTCTGTTCCCTCCCGCTTCATCAATCATACTCAGAGCACCACCAAACTAAATAGAGGAAGATGTCGCACAATCTCTCTTCCTTTCCTTAAAGGGTTTTTTTTTCTCCCTTTACAGGCTAACACCTCTCTCTCAGTCCTTATGCTTCCCTCTGCTTATCAACCTTCAACTCCTTGCATGCTCTATTTCCTCTTTTTTCCCCTCCTCTCTCTTTTCCTTATTCTCGCCGCCGAAGAATCGCTCTGGTGCCAATTATATTAACAACTGCAAAGTTTGAAAGAGTCCAGCCAAAAACGGTCAAACTGCATCAATCTTCTCTTGTACAGTGCATTGATTGATGTCAGGAGCAGGTCACTACATGTCTAGACACAGAAAAAGCGCTTTAAGCCGCCTTAGCTGTCAATACAGTACGGCACACAAGAAATACCAGACTAGACGTCCACTTTCATTCACACGGATACGTCAATTCAATCTGCAGTTCGTTTGGCTGATAAGAACTTCTGACACAAGTCAAATGGGACTTGCTTGGTTGCAGACAGCGTCATTAAAGGTGTTTGACAAAAAGAAGTGGCCTGTTTTCCCCTCGAGCACTACGCGCTGCGCATGTTTCTGTGTATGTGCGTACATGCACGTGCATCGGTGCATATGATGAAACTCTAAGAAAAGGAGCTGGGGGCAGCGGCAGCCAGGAGGAACACTGTTTACATAATGTGTTCTGAATACTGGAGGGTCCGGCCAGGCCGTGCTGTCAGCCTGCGTTGAGGTACAGGGCATCGTCTAATGGGACAGATAATGGTGAGGCTGATACGCACAGGCAGCATGTTTGTAGGGTTAGAACAAAGAGAAGGAACGTAGCAAGGAAAAGGGAGGGAAGAAAAGAAAGAAGGAAGGGCGTACAGTACCTCCTCGACTCTCGCTGTCTGCTGGCTTCACCTGGATTGGTCTGTTCATCTGTGAGAGAGGGGGACAGAAGCAAGGAGAGGACAAAGAGAACAAAAAAAAAAGAAAACAAGAGACAACCAGTAAGCATTGTGTACTCATGTAATAGCTCATGCTTTTACCCCTCTCCCACCCTCCATCCCCTCCCAAAAAGTTTTTGAGAATCACTCAGCCAAATTGCGGGTAAAGTGTATTGAAAATCTCCAAAGCTGTAGCACTTATAGCCATTGGGGGAATAGCTGGTTGGGAATATGGGTTGGAAATATTATTTGATGTGAGATGAAAGGAGAGAGAAGGGTTGGAAAGGGGGATAAGCAGAGGGATGAAGGGAACGATAGAAAGAGGGATGGAGGGAGAGGTAACTCTGGGTCAGCAGAGCTGCTGTGACTGTGTATCCTCTCTGTGGGTGCTCCTGGATGCTCGTGTGCTATTGTCAAGTGGTCTGTGTGGACTGTTCAGATATATTGAGGTGGATGTATACACACACACACACACACACACACACACAGCAAAATCAACCCGTACACAGAATAAACATAGTATGTATGAGTTAAGCCTCGCTACAAAATGTTCTTGCACAATCCTCTCTTAGCCTCACACACAAGCTTGTGCATACAAGTGCATACACACACAAATACACACAGACACTGTCTGTCCCCCAGTGAGACCTTTCCACAGTGTGTCCGCCGAGGCCCTCCTTTCATTTCACTCCTGCCTGTCAAACCTTCCCTCTCCGCCTCACCACCCTGCTAAACGCTCGCCGCCAATCAATTTTTAATAATGCCAATCGCCACGCTGCCAGGAGGAATGGAAGGAAAGGGGGGTGGGGGGTGGGGGGGGGTGGGGGTTGGGGGAGGAGGGACGAGGGGAGGAAAGGAGAGGAGAAAGCTGAGGATGAAAGGGGAGGAGGGAAAGGTCAAGGTTCTGTGTGATGCAGCATCAGTGTTTTGCTAAATGTCATTAAATCTTTTCTTCAGAGTTTGCTGATACAGTCATCATCTTAATGAATCTCTGGGCTTTCAGATGATTCACCAAAGGCGAAACCTTTGAGCGCCAGGACACAATGTCACGACGCGAAACACAATTAATGCTCAGACCTTCACCCTTTCCTGGCGCTTTTCCGCTGCTAATATTAAATCACATCATTCTCCATAACACTTATTTAAAATGGAGTTACCCATTCCTTCCTCTCCCTCGTCTCCTCCCTCTCTTTGACAGCCAAGAGAACCCTACTAATGTTTTTAATGTGCTGTGATGCATTATTTATCAGACTGGCTGTTGATATGGAAAAAGGACGAGGGGGATAAAGGAATTGGGGAACAGAAAGAAAGAGGGAGTTAAAATGAGTAAAAAAAAAAGTGAAAGAGAGAATAAAAAACGGTGCTGGACAGGAAACAGGGAGATTTTAGGAGGGATGAAACCAAACAGGGTGAGAAGGAAAAGAAACTAATGGAAAACAGTAAAATAAAAAAAGGGGAGGGGGGGTTGTTTGAAAAGAGAGAAATGTGGTTATAAAAAAGGAAGAGGGGGAGATGAGGACATAGATCAGAGCATGGGACAAGGTCAGCCCAGTGCTCCCTAGGGTCCTATAAGCCTGCATACATATGAGCGCTTTTACTGTGACCCATACAAATGGTCTGGCCTCAATCTGACCTAATTGTGTTCCACCTCCACTGGTTTTATATGCAAGCACCAGTCTTAACCAGCACAGTGCATGACGGCCCTGAGCCTCTGAGGTTGTGTTTATTTTTCCTGGTCTTCATTTCACTCTGTACTGACATTTTAGGCATGCACACTTATTTGTTTTTTTTTAATGTTTCACTTTTATTATTTTGAGTTTTTAATTTTTTGGACTGTTGGAAAAAACCCTGCAACACCCTGCCCCCTAAAATCTCAAAATAATTTAATGTCCCTCTGCACAAGGGATGTTCCCAATGACTAATTTCCCTGATGTTTAAATTGAAATCTAAATTTAGATGAGTCGACATGTCTAAAAGTGAGAAAACACTCAGAATACAGTAGGGCTGACCTGAATGCTTCAGAGCTTCAAAGCTTTGAATACAGTAAACAACAACCAAATCAGTATTTGAAGGGTTGGTTTATATACATACCTATTATCAGTTATTCTCAGACAAGGAACTTTGAAGTTAGTTCTATGACTCCAACTCATTCTCATCTAACGTCAGTCACCAGCTGTCCAGCACTCCTGAAATTGGGACGGTTTGACCACACGTGAAATGCTAGCAAGATGTTGAAAACTTGTATTGTTGGAAAAGTTTAAAAATTTGCAAAGATAAGCCTCAAAACATCTTGTGCCAAATATGCCAAAGGAAACTGGGACATCACAAACATACAGCAAGCTTGTAGCCTGAGTGTCAGACTGAAGCTCCCAGAACCTTCAGTCTGACATGGCTTCCATTGAAGGCGATTTACAAGGGGGAGGGAATTTGATTTTTTCCCTAACCAATCAGTAGAGATCAACGACTCACCCAGAATCTGACGTCATTAGTATCCATGTCTCGGGGTGCCGAAAACAAGCGAGCATTGCCCGTTTAAAATGTCTCCGTCGTCGTGCACGCCCAGCTGCATCACTGTTAAATCCAGTTTAGCAGCTTCCTTAATTTGGTCCTCCATTAACGCGAGTAGTGGCGAAATACCTCAATAGCATCATTAATGTGGTCTGTAGGATCTGTAGAGGTCACCATTGTTGCCATCCTCACCAGTTACCCACCGGCGTACACCTTGACATCAGCGTGGCGCTGATTGGCTAATCGCTAGACCCCCGGCGTTCATTGGTCCTTCCATCGTTTGGACGAAATAAATCGCAAATTCATTGAAGTATGCCAGACCAGAGATACAAGCCTACTCAGTTGAGTGGGCGGGGTCTATGGTCTGGAACCAGGCTAGCGAGCTTGGCAAATCACCTGAAAACTGTAAGTAACAGCTTAGCTGTCTTGCAAATTTTTTTTCTAGCTACTGTGGCTAATGTTGCTAACAAAGTGGCTAATTGTCACATTATTTTAGTTGCACTGACTGAAAACTTAATGTTTAAAAAAAGTATGACTTATGTACTCTCAATATTTATTCTCACATAAGCTTCAAGGCACAAAAAAAGATATTCAGGACAGCCCTAGAAAACAGTCAAAACTGAGCATAATATAATCTATAAGGTCTATAACATTGTCAGAAAAATATTGCATATATTATAATAGCCATTTGAGGTCATGGATCACATTTTTTCAATATGCAAACTCTATTTTAAATGCCACTGAAATGTGTGGCACTTCACATCGTGCATCGTGAATACTGCACAATATCCTACAAAACATGAATCACAAAATAAATCGACTTATCTCCAATCAAACACACACACACTAGTATTTCTGGGGCCAACTAGCAATGGTAGCTGTGTTTAATTAACTAGTCGACCAACTGCACACATCCCTACTCTGCACATGACACAACCACGTATAATCCATGGCAAACATGACAGTCTATTTACTTTTTAACAAATCTTCCAAGGAAGGCTGAAATTAGATATATTTTTGGGATAAGACAAACATAAAAGACCCACTCCTGCTCTCCCAAAAAATAAAAAATATAATACCTTCTCTTCTTCTGCTGTCCCTTATCGTGACATACATTTTTGGTAAAAACTTAAAGCAAATTTTTAACTGCACTATAATTCTTAATTTTGTTCTCATATTTGTTCTTTATTATGAAGATATATTAACTGGGAATTTACAAAATATAAAATATGCAAGTGCACTTAAAGTATCAGCATGTTCCCTTTTTTTTTTTAAATCAAAACAGTTACAAAAATAGGCAACAAAAAAATATAACTTATCAAAATAAGACCTCCATCCCTAAAGTTTTAATATACTACTACTACATACTTAAGACCTCAAATCCCATGACCTAACTTCGTAGATTAATCAGTGTCTTCATTTGTCGTCGCTAGTTAAGCCGCAGAATGTGCGCTCATAAATTTTTAGATACAGTTCAAAATAATGTTAAGTGGTTAAACCATTATTTTCTTTTGTCACTGAAAACTGAGTGGACTTTCATGGGCTCTCTATCAGTGGTTTCCATTATCCCGGGCCCATAAACTGCTTCAAGGTCAGTTTTATCATCCTGCTCATAATAGGGTGAGTTAGCACCAGCCCACCGGACAACCGATCCCAAAACAGTTGTTAAAACCAGACGCTGACTAGCACGGATAGCTCCCCCAGGATGTATGTGGTGGTGTTAGCCAAAGCCAGATGGCATCATTGAGCAGCAGAAGCAACACAAAACACAGACAATACATGAAGCTCTCTTCAGCCTAATGCCAGCATGAGAAGAAATGCCATCTACAATTTACACAAAAACGCGCCGAGATGCCGACATAGAGTGTATAAACACATGACACACACAAACAGGCACAAGAGGGTAGGCTTACACGACTAGACATGCACGCTTATACACACACAAGCTTGGCTTGTGCACTAACATGCAAAATCACAAATAGGCCTATGCATCCAAGCATGCATGGAAACATACAATGGGATACAAAGAGTCACACACACATGCACACACACACACACACACACACACACAATGAATATGTAAATGTATCCTTGTGAGTCAACATGTTCTGTAAATTGGCTCATCTCTCAGCATGCACACCTAATACCTTGCATGTAGCGTGCCTTTTTTCTCCTCAGCCTTGTGAAAGGGGCTGCCTATTCATCCACGCATATGCCTTTAAAAACACTATACACATGCTCACACACACTCACACACACTCACACACACACACACACACACACACACACACACGGGCTTAGCTCCATTGTTGCTGAAAGTCCACCTCAGCAGCCTCGTGTTAGAGTGGCCTTGGTGTACCACATGATCGACAGCTCAAAAAGAACTGCGGCGGCTACACAAATGCACGGGCACGCACACCCACACACACACATATTCTCGCTACACTCCTCTGTTGATTATGTAACTCAATGACAGCGCTCTGC